CAAATTTATTAGAGCATAAGCTTTCTTGAGCTATAGCTCACTTCATCTGATAAACAGGTGGATACAGACTAACACGGCTGCTACTCTGTAACTTCTTAAAGTAATCCCTGAGCTACTTCCTACTATCCCACGTGATCACTATTTCTTGTAAAGTATCATTTATACCCCAATTCTGCAAACATTTCAGCATGTGACTAATTTATGTATATTAAAGTGCTTACAGGACTGTAGGCTTTGATTTCACTGGGGCTTCCAGCAAACTCAGGGGCCTGCTTGAATATATCATCTTTTAGGACTGAAGCCTTATGAAATTGATTCCTTGCTGAACAGATTCTTAAAAACATCAACAGAGGAACAGAAAAGTCCTTACAATTTTTACAGGAATTTTTTAAATAACCAAGTTATATTGCTTAAAAGGGCACTCTAAACTGGATTTTTTGTCATTAGATAGTTTCAAAATAGCCAAATTGACAGTTTCCCATTCACTCAAATTGGACTGTGAAACTAAATTGGTCTAAAGAACGAGGAGTACTTGTGGTGCCTTAGAGACTAACAAATTTATTTGGTTTCAGAGTAGCAGCCGTGTTAGTCTGTGTCTGCAAAAAGAAAAGGAGGACTTGTGGCACCTTAGAGACTAACAAATTTATTGGAGCATAAGCTTTCATGAGCTACAGCTCACTTCATCGGATGCATGGAGTGGAAAATACAGTAGGAAGATCTATATATACAGAGAACATGAAAAGATGGGGGTTGCCATACCAACTCTAACAAGACAAATCAATTAAGGTGGGCTATTATCAGCAGCAGAGAAAAAACTTTTGTAGTGATAATTATGATGGCTCATTTCAAACAGTTGACAAGAAGGTGTGAGTACCAATAGGGGGAAAAATTAGCATGGGGAAATAGTTTTTAGTTTGTGTAATGACCCATCCACTCCCACTCTTTATTCAAACCTAATTTGATGATGTCCAGTTTGCAAATTAATTCCAGTTCTGCAGTTTCTGGTTGGAGTCTGTTTTTGAAGTTTTTTGTTGAAGAATTGCCACTTTTAGGTTTGTAATCGAGTGACCAAAGAGATTGAAGTGTTCTCCTACTGGTTTTTGAATGTTATAATTCTTGACATCTGATTGTGTCCATTTATTCTTTTGCATAGAGACTGTCCGGTTTGGCCAATGTACACGGCAGAGGGACATTGCTGGCACATGATGACATATATCACATTGGTAGATGTGCAGGTGAACGAGCCCCTGATAGTGTGGCTGATGTTATTAAGGTGTCCCCTGTGATGGTGTCCCCTGAATAGATTTGTGGACACAGTTGGCAACGGGCTTTGTGGCAAGGATAGGTTCCTGGGTTAATGTTTTTGTTGTGTGGTGTGTGGTTGCTGGTGAGTATTTGCTTCAGGTTGGGGGGCTGTCTGTAAGCGAGGACTGGCTTGTCTCCCAAGGTCTGTGAGAGTGAAGAGTCGTCCTTCAGGATAGGTTGTAGATCCTTGATGATGTGCTGGAGAGGTGTTAGTTGGTGGCTGAAGGTGACGGCTAGTGGCGTTCTGTTATTTTGTTTGTTGGGCCTGTCCTGTAGTAGGTGACTTCTGGGTACTCTTCTGGCTCTGTCAATCTGTTTCTTCACTTCAGCAGGTGGGTATTGTAGTTTTAAGAACCCTTGATAGAGATCCTGTAGGTGTTTGTCTCTAAGACAAACACCTACACTCTGGTTAGTCATTTTCACTTTCTGTTTTTTTGTGTGATTTTTAGTGGATCATTTAGGGCCTGATTGTCAAAGGGGCTGAGCAGGCATGGATCTCATGGGATAGTTACCTAGCACTTCTAAAATCAGCCCATTAACATTTTTCAGAAAATGTGGATAATAATACTGACCTACCTTGTTGGATTATGACGCTATTACCCTTATTATTGGTTTCAGAGTAACAGCCGTGTTAGTCTGTATTCGCAAAAAGAAAAGGAGTACTTGTGGCACCTTAGAGACTAACCAATTTATTTGAGCATGAGCTTTCGTGAGCTACAGCTCACTTCATCGGTGAGCTGTAGCTCACGAAAGCTCATGCTCAAATAAATTGGTTAGTCTCTAAGGTGCCACAAGTACTCCTACCCTTATTATTTTTATACTTTATTTACTAGCGTATTTTCCATATTCATAAATGCCAATCAGTTATATATGCCTCTATTTTAAACAAATTTGTGATTAACCAACCTGCATCTACAATGTATATTACATGGAGTTGACTCCTATTATATTATGTGATTTTGTTTCACCGTCATTAGATTGATTTGCATGTTAACATATGAGATGCATATACCCCTGTACAGTTGAACAGCCATGTGACTGATTTACTTATACAAACAAATGAAATTTTTTCTGTGGTTAGCAATGGGATTAATTTGCATCTGTAAATGAAGTTGTTATTGTATCTGTATGCATCTGTGCTTGATACGGTGTCACTTGCCTATGTAAACCATATTCATTCATTTGCTGTGATCTCATTATTTGAATAAATATGTGCTTAATTTCCTGATGCAAATATGAAAATATTTCTCTATGCCGTGTTCATCTGTTGCATGTACATATGTAAAAGAAAGGAGAACTTGTGGCACCTTAGAGACTAACCAATTTATTTGAGCATAAGCTTTCGTGAGCTACAGCTCACTTCATCGGATGCATACTGTGGAAAATACAGAAGATGTTTTTATATACACAGACCATGAAAAAATGGGTGTTCATCACTACAAAAGGTTTTCTCTCTCCCCCACCCCACTCTCCTGCTGGTAATAGCTTATGTAAAGTGATCACTCTCCTTACAATGTGTATGATAATCAAGGTGGGCCAATTCCAGCAAAAATCCAGGTTTTCTCCCCACCCCCACCCCCACACCAAACCCACTCTCCTGTTGGTAATAGCTTAGCTAAAGTGATCTCTCCTTACCATACACATTGTAAGGAGAGTGATCACTTTAGATAAGCTATTACCAGCAGGAGAGTGGGGTGGGGGGAGAGAAAACCTTTTGTAGTGATAAACACCCATTTTTTCATGGCCTATGTGTATAAAAACATCTTCTGTATTTTCCACAGTATCCATCCGATGAAGTGAGCTGTAGCTCACGAAAGCTTATGTTCAAATAAATTGGTTAGTCTCTAAGGTTTCTGAGTAACAGCCGTGTTAGTCTGTATTCGCAAAAAGAAAAGGAGTACTTGTGGCACCTTAGAGACTAACCAATTTATTTGAGCATAAGCTTTCGTGAGCTACAGCTCACTTCATCGGATGCATACTGTGGAAAGTGTAGAAGATCTTATTATATACACACAAAGCATGAAAAAATACCTCCTCCCACCCCACTCTCCTGCTGGTAATAGCTTATCTAAAGTAATCACTCTCCTTACAATGTGTATGATAATCAAGTTGGGCCATTTCCAGCACAAATCCAGGTTTTCTCAACCCCCCCCCCCCCCCAACTCACTCTCCTGCTGGTAATAGCTTATCTAAAGTGACCACTCTCCTTACAATGTGTATGATAATCAAGGTGGGCAATTTCCAACACAAATCCAGGTTTTCTCACCCCCCCCCCCCAAACAAACTCACTCTCCTGCTGGTAATAGCTTATCCAAAGTGACCACTCTCCTTACATTGTGTATGATAATCAAGGTGGGCCATTTCCAGCACAAATCCAGGGTTTAACAAGAATGTCTGGGGGGGGGGGGTAGGAAAAAACAAGGGGAAATAGGCTACCTTGCATAATGACTAAGCCACTCCCAGTCTCTATTCAAGCCTAAGTTAATTGTATCCAATTTGCAAATGCATTCCAATTCAGCAGTTTCTCGCTGGAGTCTGGATTTGAAGTTTTTTGTTGTAAAATAGCGACTTTCATGTCTGCAATCGCATGACCAGAGAGATTGAAGTGTTCTCCGACTGGTTTATGAATGTTATAATTCTTGACATCTGATTTGTGTCCATTTATTCTTTTACGTAGAGACTGTCCAGTTTGACCAATGTACATGGCAGAGGGGCATTGCTGGCACATGACGGCATATATCACATTGGTGGATGTGCAGGTGAATGAGCCTCTGATAGTGTGGCTGATGTTATTAGGCCCTGTGATGGTGTCCCCTGAATAGATATGTGGGCACAGTTGGCAACAGGCTTTGTTGCAAGGATAAGTTCCTGGGTTAGTGGTTCTGTTGTGTGGTATGTGGTTGCTGGTGAGTATTTGCTTCAGGTTGGGGGGCTGTCTGTAGGCAAGGACTGGCCTGTCTCCCAAGATTTGTGAGAGTGTTGGGTCATCCTTCAGGACAGGTTGTAGATCCTTAATAATGTGTTGGAGGGGTTTTAGTTGGGGGCTGAAGGTGACGGCTAGTGGCGTTCTGTTATTTTCTTTGTTAGGCCTGTCCTGTAGTAGGTAACTTCTGGGAACTCTTCTGGCTCTATCAATCTATTACCAGCAGGCGAGTGGGGTGGGAGGAGGTATTTTTTCATGCTTTGTGTGTATATAATAAGATCTTCTACACTTTCGACAGTATGCATCCCATGAAGTGAGCTGTAGCTCACGAAAGCTCATGCTCAAATAAATTGGTTAGTCTCTAAGGTGCCACAAGTCCTCCTGTTCTTTTTGCGAATACAGACTAACACGGCTGCTACTCTGAAACCTGTCAATATGTAAAGGAGAATCATTTATTTCTTGATGACATGCCTATTTTAATCATGTGAATAATTTGCATATGTGAAAGCTGATTTCCATCAGAAAAGTATTAATCTGCAGACACACAACGCATGCAAATGAATGATTAGCATATGACACAAGCAATTTGCATACGTAAATAACGTGCCCTTGCGGATCTCCTTCTGCCGCCGTGGAGAGGGTTCCTGGGGTGGGGCTCTGTTTGTATTTTTCCTTTAGGTGACGTCACCACGTCTGTGCGGTCACGCGACGCGACGACGTGACAGGTGGCGTGCCCCGCGTGTGGGCGGGACGGAGCGTGCGCAGTGTGGCGGGGCTCGCTCCCCGCGTCCCCTCCCCCTCCATGCAGCGCTGAGGAGACGGGCGGCGGAGCGGAGCAGGGGAGGCCCGGGGCCTAGCGGAGCGGGCTGGAGCGGCGGCCCCGGCGCCATGGAGGGGATGGACGTGGACCTGGACGCCGAGCTGATGCAGAAGTTCAGCTGCCTGGGCACCACCGACAAGGACGTGCTGATCGGCGAGTTCCAGCGGCTGCTGGGCTTCCAGCTGAGCCCGGCCGGCTGCGCCTTCTTCCTGGACATGACCAACTGGTAAGGGACCGGGCCTGGCCGGCGGCGCCGGGCCGGGGGGCGGCAGCCGAGGCCTGGGGGCAGGCTGCGGGGGCGGACGGCTGCCCGGGAGAGCGGGAGGTAAGACGGGCCCTGTGGGGAGGGGGGCGGGTTCGCTGGGCCCGGGGAGGGGAGAGAAGGGGGGTAAGCAAGGCCCTGTGGGGAGGGCAGGCGTGGGGGGTAAGCAAGGCCCTGTGGGGGGGAGGAAACGGAAGGTAAGCTGGGCCCTGTGGGGGGGGGAGGGGAGGGGAGGGGGGATAAACTAGGCCCTGTGAGGGGGGAGGAAAGGGGAGGTAAGCTGGGCCCTGTGGGAGGGGGGCAGGCCGGGAGAGGGGGTAAGTTGGGCCCTGTGAGGGGGAGGAAAGGGGAGGTAAGTTGGGCCCTGTGAGGGGGGGGAGGAAAGGGGAGGTAAGTTGGGCCCTGTGAGGGGGGGCAGGCCAGGGGGGTAAGCTGGGCCCTTGGGGGGGCAGGCTAGGGGAGGGCAGGGGGTAAGCTGGGCCCTGTGGGGGGGGGGCAGGGCAGGCCAGGTATGGTTGTGTAGTCTGTTTGCGCCTTTTTTGCTGGCCATGGTAAGCCTGGAAGACAAGTCCCAGTGTGGGAGAAGCATCTGGGCAACCTTTTCCCAGCCAGCGTAAACAGAGAGAGACACAGAAGCTTCTAACTTGGACAAGGCTCTTAGTTTTCTTGAGATCAGGAGGAAAGAGTCTCTCTCGCATCGCCAGGCAGTCTGAAGCGGGAGTGGTCCTCTGGTGTCGTTTCCCCCCAGATTGTTTCTCCTGTCTGTTGAGGATACACAATATTTGGTGTATGTGGGTCCCTCGTCTCTCTGGGGAGCCTGTCTACAGTTGGATGGAATAGGGGCATGGGGAGCTCGGTTTCCCCCTTCCACCTGAGGCTGGATGGAGCACAAGTACTTGTATCTACACTGCTGGAAGGACCAATCAGGCATTAGCACCCAGTCCTGCTGACATCATCTCCCACAGTCCTGCAGCCTTTCCCAGGGTCAAGTAAAGGCAATTATAATAAAAAACATGGCACCCTCTTGTTCCCCGTGCATCTTTCCCAGCACATTTACTGATTTCAGTAAGACACATTCTTACTCCTGTGTGCCTCGCAGAGCTCACAAGGCTATGGGAAAGTGAGCTGGAGTCCTGTCTCAACCATCACAACCAAGTCATTGGTTGAATTTCAGTTGTTACTCCTTGTCACAGTTAAAACATCAGTGGCAGAAAGATCAAGTTTGACTTACAGATCCAGGTGGCAGTTAGAAAAAATATCCGTCTTACAAAGTGAACAAACTTTTTTTTGGAATTGTTGAAAGGATAAACATGAAATCAGTGTAATATTTAGTCATGCATTTGTCAAGAGCCCTGTTTCACATGACACTGGAGATTGCCTTTTTGGGAAGTGAAGAAAGGGTGAATGATCAGCAAATGCTGGATCCATCTTAAGCTAGTCACCTGAATCCAGGGAAGGTGTCATGTGAGGAAGTGGTGAGTTTCTTTGGGGCAAGTGTTTTCATGACAAAATATTTCCTATTCAAAGTTTTTGTGACAGTAACATAAATACAATCTGTCTGCAGTACGTATGGGTGTTTTTTTTTTCAGAGAAATATTGGCTTTTCCCTGTATATTGTATTTCTCTTGGAAGAATAAATTCATAGGTCAACAGTGTGAACTCAAAAATGATCATGGATGACAAAAAAGGATTTTTTTGTATGTGCATCTGTAATAATTCTGATTTTTATTAGGAAAACACTCTTTTGTTTTCAGGAATATTACATGGCCACTTAATACTTCTGTCACTGCTTCCTTTATAAAATCCTGTTTTCAGGCATGAATAAATCAGTCGTAAAACTAACTCTTGGGTGAAACCTGGTGTGTCAGCAGTTTGGGCAACTGTTTTTATTAATGAATTGTCAACACTATTAGTCAAGCATTTTTTGCCATGAGTTTGAGTTATAAATGTTTGACTTTTGGATGCTGGCTTGTACTCAGCTCAGATGGTTTCATCTTTATATGAAAGGAGTTATGTAAACATAAATAACATAAGTAACGCATTCTGCATGTAGTCAAATAGTTTGGGGAGTACTGAAAGAAATTTTAAATTTGTCAACATTTAGGCTGACAATTCCAAATTTGTGTGCCTAAATTCACATCCTTAATGTGTGTGAATTTAGTAAAAAGGGATTGGAACTGAGGCTGATTGGGTCTTATCAATTGGAAAATGTAGGGAGGAAAACGTCCATTAATTTGAACGTAGTACAACTGATCCATGGCATATGGCTCCAGTTTCTCATGTATCCCTCTTTAAGTGAATTTAGTGACTGTGAAAGTGAGGGATTTTAACAGCATTGCCTTGAGCCAAGTGTGCTGACAGGTGCTGTGAAAACTTCCCTCTTGTAACCTTACCAGTGTGCTACAATCCTGATCTGCAGCATCGTTTGCTATGCCAGACCCAGGACACCACACAGCTCTGCCAATGCACCTCAGTCCAAATCTGCAGCATCCTGACTATTGGTCATGAACCTATAATGGGCAAATACAGCCTAGTATAGGTATCTGGGGTACTAGCGTGGAATGGCCAAACCCCTTTTTGCTTGTGACCCAAGCCATAATTTGAACCAGCTTTCCTTAAAGGAAAACCTTGCTCTTCGGTATGTTGAGGCAATGTGAAAGTTATAGCTGTATAATACATACAAGCAGTCCCAAGGAAACGTAAGATAGTGGCCCTCTAGGTTTGGGTGGTGGGTGGGAAGTGTGTGTTCAGTTTGTCCTGAAAACCTAGTTTGTTGGTTTCACTACCAAGTTGCTTGTTCTTCTGTTAGGAACTCACCTCAGCCTTAGAGCTGGTTCTTCAACTCCTCACTGTTCCCAGCTTATGATTAATGTACCTCTACAGCAGGTTGTAGGGGAAGTGCATAGCAGGGTCAACAGCAGTGCACTCATGTGGAAGACCAAGGACTTCACCTCCCCTCTTATTGCACACATGCACAAATTTAACAAACCAACTAACTATATTGTTGTGAAAACTGTTTCCTTCACAACAGTAGCGAAAGCCGCTCTTTAAGGATATCTGTTACGCCACGACCAAACCTGAAGTTGCTTGCCTGCGTGTTGATAAAGTACCATGTTGTAACAAATCAGAGCTAAGAAGTGTTTTTGGAGGGCATTTCCAATGGTATTTCATTTGTAAACTTAATGGACATGCTGATAAATGTATTTATTATAAATTTGCAAGCTGGGGGGAAGGAGCGCAGAGGATATTTTGGCAGTTGTCAGAAAAATCTGGACAAACAGTGAATTACTTTAATCTTTAAACTTCTGATTTTTTCCAGTTCAATATACCAAACAGCAGAGAGGGCACATTGTAACTTGTTGGAAACTTTAAATTAAGGGTACTTTAAGACAGTGGCTCTCAATCTTTCCAGAATACTGTATTCCTCTCAAGAGTCTGATTTGTCTTGTTACCCCTAAGTTTCAGGTCACTTAAAAATATACAAAATCAGACATAAAAATACAAGTGTCACAGCACACTATTACTGAAAAATTGCTTATTTTCTCATTCTTACCATACCATCATAAAATCAATTGGAATATAAATATTGTACTTACATTTCAGTGTGTCGTATACAAGAGCCATATAAACAAATAATTATCTATGAAATTTTAGTTTATACTGACTTTGCTGCTGCTTTTTATGTAGCCTGTTGTAAAACTAGACAAATATCTAGATTTGTTGATGTACCCCCTGAAAGACCTCTGAGTACTCCAAGGGGTAATGTACCCCTGGTTGAGAACCACTGCTTTAAGAAACAGTTTCCTGCCTTATTAGGAGTATAGTGAAAACACTGGTAGTAGAGTACATCTTGCGATTGCACAGATTTCCAAGGTTGTGTTTTTCTTGATGATCAAAAGCTATGAATTCAATATTTAATTGAACTATATCTACTTTCTCTCCATTTTTCTAAATCACTTCCTTAGAGCTTTGCCTCTGCTGATAAGCCATTCCGTTCTTTTTGGATTGTTCCAAGTTCTCAGTATTGCCCTTGGGACCACAAAATCCAAGTTGCTCCATTTTTTTGGGCTTTATTTTAGATGCTGGCTGTGCATTCTCTGAAAACGACACCACCGTAACATGGTTTTTGGTGAGGAGTTTTTTGTGATTGACGCAGGGGAAAAGTGTGTGGTGGGGTTAGCTTCTATTGCCTGATACTCTTGCCTGGTACTGAAAGTTGAGTTCTATCAGTGTCATTTTGGCACTAAATTATCACTTAATGTTGGAGATTACACAGGTAGTGTAGTCAGTGTGCATTTTATGGCCAACACATCTGGGATAAAATCTGCCCTTCATCAAATAGACTATTTAACTATCACAGTGTGTGTTCCCCTCCCCCCTCCAGATGTTACGTAATCCAGAAAACTGGCTGGCTGACACTGAAACTCATCTGGCATCTTGGGTTTAAGCACTGGGAGAAGTGTTTTGGTCAAATGATTTTTGTGGTAATGTTAAGTTTCAGGTGTCCAGAGGAACTTTGAGTGTTGTGATATGGTATGACTAGTAACATGTCTGAGCTTGTTCCCGTCCTTCCCTCAAAATCCCTAGTAATGTCTAATTGCATCTACATTAGAAATCTGTTTGAAAAGCCCTTCTGTGTTAATGTTCCAGGAAACTGGAAATTTAAATTGGACAGGTGTAATATAGTGTGCATACATTGGAGCTTTTATTGCTATTCTTGTTTTAGGACAATTATTACCGTCAGTGCTCAGGACAGGTAGAGTATTTAGCCACAGGAAAATTCCTGCAGAATAAAGTTCATACAGTAGAGTAAGTTTTGGGTGAAGTGCAGTTGATATTTATGAGCACTGCTGATTTTTTAAAAAAATCGTCAGTCTATCAGAAGATTTCACTTTTGTTACAAGAAATTCAGGTTACTGTAAAAGTAAGAGACTAGAGGAAAATGGCATTTTTTTCTTTATCTC